GAGCGTTGTGGGTTCAAACCCCACATGGGATGACACTTTGTGTGATCCACGAATTGTTGTTCTAAATCTGGGTGTTCTTTGGGTCCGTTTCATGTATGTTTGTAAAGTCCCCCGCGACACAGGATAAATTCCTAATGCGGAAGTTGTCTTTTAGAAATAACAAAAAGAACTTGACCGTTGAAATAACCGTGCTCATCAAACAATATTTCTCCGGTTTAGCGTCAGGGTCAGTCGATATAAAATAAGAACACAAGAGAAATATAGACCGTAATATCACAGACCCTTAGTTTTTTAGTTCAAAATAAGTACCTCACTCTTAAGCTAACGTCATTATTCACGCCTAAATAGTTGTCTACGATGTCTGGATTTTACTGTTCAAGTCTTGAATATGGCAATTAATTATTTGGAATTGTAGTAAATCAAGCAGTTTGCTATTATTAATATTTACTGGACAGTTGACTGGTCCCCTTCTAATAAAACTATATTACTATAGCTTACGGTCATCATGGTAAAAAGTAGCCTTTTTTTTTCACGTGTGTAAATCCCCTCGGACCGTCACCCCGCCGGGGCTCTCGTTCGGCGGGGCGGTGTGTCGGACTCGAACCGACTAAAACCACACGGTGTGCCCTCTTTGCGCTTCCAGTTTAGGAGGGGTCCAGGTATCGCCTTCTGGACCGCTCCCAGCACCGGCCCGCTCCTGTTGGGGGTCCGTCTCAAAATGTTTCCTCTCTTTAGGCGACGTCCGGTACACGCGGATGCCGCCCCCTCGCGGATGGTAAAAAGTAGCCTATGTCCTACCACAAAAATCTAACTATCTGAATACCAAATTTTATCTAAATCGATTCTGCGGTTATCGATTCTAAATACAAACATCCACCCTCCTGTTACAGGATGATATCTGGGATAAAAACTATTCCATGTCCTCTCCCAGGACTCAAAGTATAACAAATATACATATAGTGTACGTAATTTCATCTAAATCTGGTTTCTGGTTTAAGAATCTTTATTTCTCAAAAGAATTTACAAAATTCACTTACTGAGAAAACATACATAAAAGTAAACAAAATAAATCCATTGAGCGTTTGAATATAATATAAAATATAAGTGGGTTGTCAAATATATTTTGCGTGAGATTACGAACTTGCAAAACACTCGAAATCAGTGCAGCAGTCGAAGTGTGAAGAGGTAACAGACAGACAGACGCACTTTCGCATTTGTATTATTATCTCAGTATGGATAAGTCGTTCAACAGAACATACATAAGAACTTTTAAGACAAGTTTAAGCCTACGAGCAGGCTATACGAAACCGCTCGCATGTACGTAATTTTTGGTACGAAGTTATTTATCACGCGGTACAGGCTCAGAGCGGGTGGGATCGAGACCAAAAAAATTTATAACAAGACTTTTTGACCGACCTTTTTGTACTCGCGTCGACGCTCACATCTTTTTTTTTCATTTTTTATTTATATAGCGCCTACCAAAAAGCGAAAGGAACTTCGTTTCGATAGGTCCATAGATCTCTCACGTCGTTTTTAAAAGCCTTTTTTATAAGGGACTACCGCCGCCCATGGGCACCTAAAAGTCGAGAGTTACAAATGCATCTCCACCCATTGAGTTCCCATTCCCTAAAAGGTTTAATATGGGGAGGAACTTTCAACTTCCGTTAACCGCACTTACTAGGTGAAAATTAACGAAAGATCCAAGTAACCGTGTTTCGTATTCTTTCTGAGTCTAGTCGTAGGAATCTACATGGATTGTTAACTTAATTTTAGCACTATTTTTGTGTCCTTCCAGTAAATACTTATTTTTTTCTGTTATATACACTAATATCAGTTTTTGTTAGGTACCCAATTGGATTTTATATGCATTGTGTTGCGAGTTATCTGTGTGAGTTTAATTTCTAACTGTTGGGGAACATGCACAGCACAGCAGTGTGTTGTGCCAAATGTTTTATAAAATTAATGTCGTATTTTTGTAACTTACCTTGTATCCATGTATGTTTTATGTATCTAGTGTAGCATAAATAAATGGTTTTTACACCGGTTTTCTGTGAGATTTTGGTGTCACACTAGTCGAAACGTACGTGCCGAAGTATGACTCCCACAGACTAAAAACATTACAACATTCTTTCCTCTAGTACGTTCTGATAGAAGCCGCTCTCTAGGCATTCATCTATTTGACGGTCTAAGTGAAAAGGTGTAACTTTATGTGACTATTGGTGCAAGAATAGGCTAAACACAATATCACACCAGAATAAACCAGCATCAATTGAGCAGAGACACTCATCAGTTTTAATGAAGTATTATTCATTAACAAGTGATTGGACTATAAATACTACCCTCACTATCTCGCTGGGTTCCTCATGGTCCACATAGACTCCCCCTCATCACTAGTACATGATATGCGAAAAGTATAATGTTGGAAATTGTCAAGCAGTTAATTGTGTGTAGCAGAAACCTTCACTACTTTTTCGAGAATCAAACCTCGATCCTCCTCGTCCGCTAGCGAACGGCGTGCGACGCAGGTGACGGGGAGACAACGAGAAGCAGGGGCGCGGGCGCAACGGCTCCCACGATTGCCATTACATATACTCGATCGGAATCATTGCTCTGTACAAGGTACTTATTTGTAGACATTACAAACCGGCGCAAAATACAGTCCGCTTTTTATTTGTCTACTAACACCGAGACTTTAACAGTTTTGGTCCTTCGAGCCGGATCTTTGACCTTCTATTATGTAGAAGTATAACTGAAACGTAAATGCGTAACAATGTAGCTGAATGTATTGAATGTCCAATTGCAAAGCCAATATCCAGTTCTGTTTGTCCCAATTGTTAATGAAAGCTTGGCATTTGAGTGAAGTGTGTATTATTTTGTTGGGAATTTATTATTCCTGATATTTACAGAGTACATTAGAACGATACAAAGTTATGGAGCAATAAATTATCGTGGCATTGACTTGTCATATGGAGCGATGAGTGAAAAATGGTGATGCAAGGTTTATGAATGTAAGTTGAAGGATACAAGAATAGAGGGCGACCAAAGAAGTAAGAGAAGAGAGAGAGAGACAGCAAGAGTAAGCAGTGAACTGACATAGATAGAGGAGAATGCAAGAAGAAATATCATTCCACCACTAAATCAATCCATACTTATATTATAAATATAAAAGTGAGGTTTTTTATGGTATATGGGGGCAAACGAGCAGCCGCCCATGGACACCTGCAACTTAAAAGTCACAAGTGCGTTGCCGCCCTTGGAGTCCCTCCCGCTCGAGTCAGAGGAGGTTTGTTTATTTGTTCGTTTGCTTTCGTGCCTTAACCACTATACCGATTTGAAAAATTCACATATGGAAAGCTTCATTATCAGCGAGTAACATAGACTACGTTTTACCGTGATAAACGATATTCGAGTACATGCGGTCGGAGCCGCGGTCAGAAATAACCGCTAATTATTTTTATGTTATTATTATATATTATTATTTTATGTTATCTAATAAATTATAAATAAGTTTTATAATCAGTTTCATAAATTTAAATGAAATGAATTTTTTGTTATATTTTATTCTAATTGGCAATTAAAACAGCTCAACCAAATTATATCTTAAAAGACGATTCATTATCTGGAATCGCCTTACAAATATCTTAATAGGTTATGGCGAGTGAGTTTCGTGTAATCGGCTTGCGTCCTGTATTGAGTACAGTTGATTATTTTTTGATTTTTTTTTTTTTAAAGACAACTCCCGCACTAGGAATAAATCCTGTGTCGCGGGGGACTTTACAAACATACATGAAACGGACACAAAGTACACCCAGACTCAGAACAACAATTTGTGGATCACACAAAGTGTTGTTCCATGTGGGGTTTGACCCCCCAACACTCGGCGTAATAGGAAGCGGCGTGGCGACCGATTAAACCACTACGCCATCCGTGCAGTCAGATTAAGACTAAATTTGGAAGCAGTCAAGAGTGTGCTGCTATATTAAAACTTTGTCTATTAAATTTTGACCAATTGTGACTTTTCGACTTTTCGTTGCGTTGGGAGCATATGCAGGTATCTGACTTTCTGATAGTTTCATAAGCACTAGCGTTCATGGAGACTTTATTATTATGTATTGAATTATTATACTTTATTATGATTTTGGGAAATCTTACCTCTTGCAGCAAATTTATTAATAGAAGAGATGTTTGAGAATTTATTAAATTTATTTATACTTTTTATATCATTAAAGAATGTTGTTTTTTCACCTTTAAGTCCTTAATAACGGACATACTAGCACACATCAAAACAATGTTGTGATATATTTAATAGTGCCATTGTATCTACTTGTGAATTGCAAAAGAGTGGCCATGAGTTTGTTTGCCCTTTCTTCTCATAAGGCTCAACCCCTTGGAAACGGGCGGTTGTAGATCGGCACAGGCATATCATAGATTTTGTATGGGTTTGATTTTTGTTAAATTTATTTGGTTACTATTTGACAAAACAGAGATTGTTGCTTTTGTGTGTGTTGATCTATGACTTTAGAGTCTACATGGAAGACGATTTCAAACAATTTTGGAAATTTAATGAAATAAAGAAAGTTTGAGTTTGAGTTTGAGTTTGAATGTATATTGTATTATATTGCAAAAATTTATTCAAAAAACATGTTCAAAACTGCTTAGAAAAACTTCTAAAACTGTTTACTAGGTTACATTTTAACCTTGGGATAACCCACAATTTCGTTACCTTTTTGAATGGCTAAGGATTATTTTTTCACTGAGGGTAGTACCAATTGTGCTATTTTTAAATATTTCTTCGGGGCAGACTTCCATTTTTTTTATTACTTAATAGTTTTTTCAAAAGACTAGTTTAGTGGTTAATCACTATTACTATCCATTTCTAATTTTTAATTCTTCATTCTCAAAATTTAGTTTGCTAGCAACTTAAAAAGGATAAAATATTTTTCATGAACTAATCCATAATATGGTTTATAAAAATTAAACATACATATATTTTAACTTACCTGTATAGGACACCAGCAGACGGCAAACACGACAACTACCACCACAACCATTCTTGTCACTTTCTTCCTTCCCCTCCGGCTTTCTGCCGACACTCTCCCTCCAGGAGCACTCCTCCATAACCTCGTCAACATACACATATACAACACACTAATCAAGGCTAAAGGAATGACATAAGAAGACAGAAAGAAAGACATTTGGAAACCCAGCTTGCTGTAACCCTGTTCTTCCAGAAATACACACGAAGAATGATTTCTATGGAAGTATGAGTATTCTCTCTCCCCATGGCATATACCTACAGGGATAGCTGTTGTTAATATGACTACCCATATACAAGCTATAGCTAAAAGAGCATTTTTCTCTGTTCTAATCGACATGGATGCGATAGGGTGGACTACAGCCATGAATCTGTCTAAAGACATAAGAACAAGGGTATATACTGAAGCATGGGCTGTAACCACAATGAAATACTGGACAACTTTGCACCACCAGTCTCCGAATGGCCATCGAGGCATGACATAATCAGTAGCAGTAAAGGGAACGCAGAATATGACGAAGAGTAAATCGGCGACAGCTAGATTGATGATCAGGAGATTTGTAGTAGACCTCATACCAGGGTTGGCAGCTACGACAAGTACGACTAATGCATTTCCTACTAATCCAACAATTCCAATAAAACCGAAAAAGATAGGTACAACTCTTGAAACAATGTATTCCAGTAATTCTCCGTTTTCTAAATCGCCGGGGTCGCCGCAACCATCAAGCATACCCTCCTCAGTAGTCAGGTTCAGACATATAGTCCTAAAGTCTTCTTCTGTTGTCGCCATGTTGATGGTTTATATTTAGTTCTTCAATTCTTCAATGGGTTCTGAAACAATGGAAAAGAAATCTTTAAGAAAATGTAATTATTGAAATTGAAAAAGAACTAGTAAAAGTGCTATTGGCAAGTTTCGAATAATCTAGACGTCGTAGTTTTAAGTTTTTTGGGATGGGGTGCAAATGAGCAGACCTCTAAATAACTGTCACTGCCCACGAAACTCTAGAGACACAAGTATGATGACGATCTCTGTGCCCTTCCTTCTAAAAAACTCTGTGAAATGCAACGAAAAATTTGCTTAGAACCGGTTTTGTGTGGGGCCATTACTCCGGTCGAGCCGGCCCTTGAGTACGAAAACTTGGTTTTCCTTTTATTAAAGTTGTTAGATAAAATACTTCAATAGTTTTAAACTTTACCGTAGTACAACAAGATCTGAAATTGAACAGCGTTCAGGGAATATTTTTTTCATGATTTCAATGAGTTTTGTAACGCTTTTTAATAACGTCCTAAACATGAGTTCAAAATATTCTTTTTCTTTTCTTTTTAAAAAGACAACTCCTGCACTAGGAATATATCCTGTGTCTTGGGGGACTTCACAACCATACATGAAACGTACACAAGGAACACCCAGAATCAGAACGGCAATTACACACAGTGTCTTCCCATGTGGGGATTGAACCCACAACACTCAGCGTAGTAGGAAAAGACGTGGCGACCGCTTAAACCACTACGCCATCCGTGCATTGGAATATATGTATATTTAGTCATTTAAGTGCTTATTTAAAACATTAAAATGGTGTAAGTCTGTTTATTTGTTTATATTTTTATATTTCAAGCCCTTTGTAGTTGTCTAAATGTCGAAGTCTTGTTATATTTTAGAATAGAGGAAATTTTGTTTCAGCCATCTTTGATCAATTTGTTTGATCCTCTCCGTCGAAATTGATCTTTCGTACTTCCTCAAAACATAATTAAAGAGTCTTTCGGACATTACCATACTACAGCTTTTGGTAATAAAAGCAAAGGAATATCCCTTCGAAGTTCAAACCTGGAAATTTATTCTCGTACATACGAGTATTACGCTCTGGGTATTTTGTAATACAAAAATATAGATATAGACGTTACACTTACGATTATACTCGTACATACTAACATCATATTTCTAATAACAGTAGTACACACTATTTGTGAAGAATTTACAATTTTAATAACGTTTTAGGTGTTACATTGAACTAGATTCAGTCGGTCTCACACTGAATTTCTTCTCGCAGTAGTCTAATTCGCCTAGCAATAGATGCTGATAGTTTGCAGCATATCATTATCATGTAGAAGAAACAATGTATGAAACAACAAGCGCACATCCTTGCGGGACGCTATTTTATTATAACTACTTTATAAACTAATTCTGAACACTTGTCTCTTTTAAAGTCTACCACAACAGATAGATCTGTTGTAACGACGAGAAGGTTGATAGAGGAACTTGATTAAAGAGTTCTTTCCTAAAAGGCCTGCAACGCCTTTGTGACTCCTGAGTTGCAGACGTTCATGGGCGGCGATGGTCACTTTCCATCAGGTGACCCGTCTGCACGTCTGCCCCCTCTAACATAAAAAAATCTATATAACAGTGTCAAAATTAGGTCTAAAATATTTTTTGTAAAGTGTGAGCATGGTTGCAAAAACATTGTCTGTTAAGGGTTCATTTAACTTAACAAGGGGGATGTTGTAACATCACTATTCAATATTATTTAGTAGATTAATATGTCACATCACTAGCTTGGTTTGCACTATGGCCACATTACGTCATCATTCACTGTTTCTCTGTGTGCGATACTGTACTATTGTGCTGATAATACACTACAAGTCAAACCAATAAGATAGTTTATTTACAAGATCCACCAATATAAATAATCACCATTAGTATCTTGCACTTTTTTCTCATTTTGGGGTCCCTGCAATGTTTAAAATTGCAAGAGAGCTTTAGCGGATTTCTTTTATAGCCAGCGGCCTTTTTTTCTGTAGGGAAATCGCCTCGGAATCCACCCACCGGTGGCTATGTTGAACTTGAACCGACATAGCCACTGGTACAGGTAAAACCGCACGCCGTCTAGGGTACCAGTAGCCGGGGAACCAGGTGTACCCTAGAAAGGTCCCCTTACATTTTTTGAAACCCTGTAGAAGCTTTTCCCACCGATGAAAGTGGAAACATTAGATGACTTTTATTAATTCTATTACCTAACATTTCAAATGCAATAGGTCCCCATGACGCTCGAGTAAATTCCTATATAGCCTCTTTGGCTCCCTACTAGTGGACCAATACCAATCGAGACGATTTACGTATGTCAAATTAAGAACAAATTTATTTTTATTTATTGATTTATTAATTGGATCTAAAAACAAAGAATATACACACATAGTTTTTTAAACAGTGTACTCTTTCAGTTATAGGAGACGACAGCATTCACTAGAATATCCAAGCTTATACGTAAGACAAAAGTAAATTTAAAGTAACATAATGAATAACTAAATTATACTAAATATGACAAACTATTTAAATTGATATTAATATATATTATGAATATTATTTAAATAAAAAAAAAACTCAAAAAGAAAAAAGAAACAACCAATAATAAATGAGAAACTTAAAGAAATTTTTGCAAGTGTCAACAGGTTTAAGGATTCGCTACTATCGATATCATGAGCTATTGATAAAGTGTTGTATAGCCTACAAGCTTTTGGTACAGCAGCGTACCCGCCCCTCAATCAGGGAACATAGATTAGTTTTAGAAAACGGAATATCAAATAAATTATAATTGCTTTTTCCTGGAAGACGCAAAGGTATTTTTATGCCTAAGGCGCTTTGTAACTCAATACAGTCCGTGGAAACACTTAGTATTTTATGTAGAAATATGGAATCAAGTTTCATTATGCGACTCACTAAAGGTTTTAGTTTAATTATAAACTATAAAAGATTTTAATTAAAAAAAGAAAAATTATATGCTTTAAGTTACACATCAGATGTGCAACGTAAAGTTTGTTTTGCTAAATGGTCTCCGTAACATAGATGGTAGAGGAAGCGCCTCTGCACACTCTCTAAACGTTTCGTGTATACTTCGTGATGAGAATTCCATATTTTTGAGTCATACTGCAACATGCGACGTACGAGTAACTTAAATAGCCGTTTTTTAGTGAAAGATTTTTTCAAACCTCTACCATTTCGTAAGACGAAGCCCAGTATCTAAACGCTCTTGCAACGGTATTTAATATGTGAGCATCGAATTTGATTAAACATCTCGAATAACATTAACCTTATTTATTAGGACACCTTCTATATTGTAGCTATTATGTAGTATTTGTTTATTTCGCGTGAATTGAGTGTAATGACATTTACTTGTGTTTAAATACATTTTATTTTCCTTATTACTAGATTTATTACTAGACTATCAAATTAATGAATTTGATAGTCTGTTTATATCATTTTGTACCATTTTAGCGCCTTTATCTGTCCGAATTGGTTTCATAATTTTTAAGTCGTTGGTAAATAAAAAAAATGAGAGTGACAAAAGCAACTGACTATGTCATTAATAAAAACGTTCAAGAGGATTGGACCTAGATGAGATCCCTGAGGAATTCCGAAGGTACCTTTACAACTAGGAGAATAATATCGATTTACTACTAATTTAAAAGTTCTGTCTTGTAAGTATGATTTATGCCACTTAAGTAAAGGTCCATCGACACCCAACTGAGTAAGTTTTTTTTTGTGAGCCATGATGGCCATGGTTCACTTATCGAATGCCTTGCTAAAATCTGTGTAGATCGCATCAAGTGGTATACGTTTATCTAGGCACCCAGATATAGCAGCTGTAAAACATAACAAGTTAGTATTAGTGGACCTGGATTTTATAAAGCCATGTTGATGTTCAGTTAATTGTTGTTTAAGTTACCACATTAGATGTTTACTTACAAGTTTTTCGAATGTATTGAAAAACATTAATAGTATAGATATAGGTAGATAATTTTTCACAAAATGTTTTATGCCTAATTTCCTAAATTACCCATTAGTGACTACATTAATAACTAATTAATTATTATTGTTACTTGCTGAACAATTAGTAACTTGTAAACAAATTATAATAATAATAATAATAATAAATTTTATTGTAACAAATGATACATACAATTCAAGTGCAAGCCCTGATTCCCAAACTAGCGTGAGCTGTATATCGGGGATCAGTTCCTTCCCAAAGACATGATACAATAAGTTGTTACAATAATCACGTGGAACATACAAAGAAACATTGAAGAATACTTACAAAAGATCTTTTGTTAATTTTGCGTGTGCATGTGTGTGTGTGTGCCTGTGCGTGTGAGTGTGCGTTTGAGTGTGCGTGTGAGTGTGCCTATGCGTGTGCGTGTGCTTGTGCAAGTGCGCGCGCGCGTGTGTGTGTGCGTATGTGTTTGTGTATGTGTATTAAAACCTGAACTACGTTCTTACCAGCAATAAGCTTTCTACATCATCGTAGACCAAACTGTTAAGCCATATTTTAATTATGTTTTTAATTTGGTAGTTCGATAAGTGTCTGGTTTTGTAATCTAAATTAAGTTTATTATATAGCCTTGGTGCAATGTTACTATATCGCTGTTGAGCAAATTTGCTTTTAACCCTTGGGATTGGACATTTGTCTTTTCTTTTACCCGAAGGTTGGAGAAGAGGTACAGTATGCTTGTGATATTTGCGGATACATTGATAGACAAACATCTTTCGTACGCTTAAAACTTCAGCCTTTTCATACACTAGATGAGTAGGGTGACGGAATGGTAAGTAAAGGAGTACTTTAAGAACAGCCCGTTGTGCTCTTTCGACCTCAATCAAGTATGTTTTTGCAGCTGAGCCCCACGAACATATACAGTAGGTGATTAAACATTCAGCTAGGGCTTTGTACGTTTGTATTAAAAGTGTAATGTCTGGTATAATTCGTAAATCCTTAAAAATGTAAATAAACTTCCTTAGTCGAC